AATATACTTCTACAAATAGTAAAAATACTATTTCATCAATTTGCAGTATTATTTAATTTAATTATCATAGAAATCCAATTAGTTTCAAGTATGTCATCTTTGTTCCGAGGAATTTATTGCAATTTGCAAAAATTTTCTAATCGTCAATGTTGTATTTTGTGTTTTTAAAACTGCTGAAGGTAATCTTCTTTGATTGCTTCCACAAAAGCACATTAATTTTATTGTTTATTATTTTATTGTTTTCAATAACAATAAACTTTCTTACTGTAATTTGTTTCAACTGGATAAGATAATCGATGACATTGTGTTATTCATCACTTTCAGTAATAAATCTACTTATATTTTCTTACTGCTGATATTATTTTCAGTATTATTTTTATTATTATTATTATTTAAATTGTACAATAAAGCATTACTTTGTATTTGTTTTCTGTATTTTTCATAATTAAGATTTTGATTAATCTGTTTCAACATTCGTTTCTATGAATTTTAAATTTCAAATCAACTAATTTCTTTAATTTGTCTGCTTCATATTAGTGGCATCTCAGATTGACAAATGGTAATGTTATTTGAAATCATTAATATAATTTGAATAAATTCATTGAAAAAGCTAAGTATTATAGATAAAATAACAATCGTGAATTCAAGAATAATTTTAGATTTTAGAGTCTCATTTCTCAACAATTTTCTAAGGTATTTTCAAATTCCTTTTTTCAATATACATTTCCATGGGTACATATTTCATAAAAAGTTCATTCATATAAACATTTGTTCATCATTGTCAGATAATCGGTAATAAGAAGAAAGTAAAAATTCCGAGATATGACATCAAGTTAAAATTTTAAAAAAGAGGAAAGCTATGATGGTTGATTATGTAAATTTTAAATATTGAAATATTGGCAAAACAGACGCTGTAGAAGTTTTCGGACATGAATTAAAAACTATTTAAAAAAAAAAAAAAACATAAATAAAAAATATTAAGAGAATAATGATAGAAGTACATACTTTGCTTTGTAATTTTATATTTGAGTAAGGTATTGCAATGTAATTTAATAAAGAAAGTTGAAGGAATTTATGCATATGCCTAAGAGTACGTAATTGATGTTCGAAAAACACGAAAAACACGTTTCGTAGTGGCATTAAATTGCGTTTAATGAAATGGTTCATTTTAATTTATTCCCAATAATACCGATATGATTATCGAATATCGTCGCCTCGTAGTACTGCTATTATATTTCTTTTCTTTCAACATAAATTAAACCAAATTCTTATTTAAAATAATGTAGATAAAATAATTATTGACTTATAATCAATCGGGTTGAACTCTTAAGTGTTCGTCTCTTCCAAATAAGACTGTGCATTTGTTGAATATAATAACCTACATGCATTGACGCATGGACTTAAATAGATTATCTAATTTTTTATTATTTAGCCGTTATAATTGTAAAGAAAAAACATGTTTAAATTTACAGTATTCATTATTTCTAAAAGTAAATTTTTGTTTTATACTAATTGGTCCAATTGTTTTTTGCTTTGATGCATTGCTTTACATAGTCCTTGTGAAAGTAAAATTAAACAAATGCATTCTTATAAATTACTTTCATTTTCTTCTTTTTCGTCATATAAGGATAATATAAGATAAAAATGATGTTCAACAAATACTTATTATAAATGTCTAAATATATTTAATATAATGTAAAAAGTAATAATTTTATAATGATTTGAAAATTTGTAAAGAATAAACAATGTATTCAATAGCCCTATCAAAAGAATTATTTACAAAAATTAGAGTTAATTTGTTATATAAAGCATTAATATATTAGCACGATAAATTCAAATTATTAAAAATTTAAATTCATTAATTTTATTATATAAATAAAACTATTATCCGCTTTATTTTTAGTTTCGTTTATTTGTAATCGAAAGCAAAGAATAGGTCTTACGGGATATGATTTTTAATGAAAAATTGAAGTAAATATAAATAAAGAAAAAATTCAAAGAGAAAATCGAAACTGCAGTATATAATATAAAAACAAATGGTTAATTTTTCGATATTTTCGTTTTTTATTTATATCCAATACAACTACTATAGTTTCGTAAAACGTTTAAAGGTACCTGAATAAACAAGCGATCAAAGAATTGCGAAGTAAAAGGGAAATTTGTTAAGAATCTTAACTAAAAAACAGACATATCGTAAGTGGGGCATATCCTAAAAACCATTAAGCTGATTTTCATGAATTGTAATTGCGTGTGTTTGCGTGTGTGCGGTATATTCTAAAAGAAAAGAAAAAAACAAAGAAAACAAAGAATGTACACGAGTGAAAGA